CAAACAGCTACAAGCTCTCCAGCAGCGACAGCATCAGCGACAAATACCTCCCCACTTACGTCCACCTCTTCTCCTGCAACAAGCCCATCTCCTACAACCACCTCAGCAGCTCCTCTAGCCACTACTCAGGAGAACACGTCTCCATCTGAGACTGCAACTGCACCAACATCTACCCTAACACCAACCACTACTTCTACCCTCACACGTACATCTCTCCTCAACACAAGTACTGCCCTCTCATCCAAACATTTAGAAACAACCTCCACTGCTTCCATCGCCACATCACCATTCCCAGCTACACCTGGTAGCTCTGCCTCTCCAATCTCTACTGTTGTTGAAACAACTACAGTTTTCTTGTCAACAACTGAAACACAAAGTAAAGTAGAAGAAACGACCACCGCAGTCACATCAAGCCCAAATGCTGTATCTTCTTCTCAAACAGCTACAAGCTCTCCAGCAGAGACAGCATCACCAACAAACACGTCCCCACTTACGTCCACCTCTTCTCCTGAAACAAGCCCATTTCCTACAATCACGTCAGCAGCTCCTCTAACCACTACTCAGGAGATCACTTCTCCAGCTCAGACTTTTTCTGCACCAATGTCTACACAAACAATATCGTCCACCTCATCACTCACTGTTAGTTCACCGCTCAATACTAGTGCTGCTCTCTCCTCCACAGCTATACTTAAATCCACCACTTCTACTGCAGCAACACCAGCTCCTGAAACTACAGTTACGAGCTCTTCCACTCCAAAAGAACCTACACCTTTTTTGATGACAACCACACTTTTCTCAACTATGCAAGAAACCTCCAGTCAGTCAGGTGAATTGTCTACAGTTGCTACTTCCATCACAGCTTACAGAACCTCTTCTGGTCTGGTGGCAGGCACTAATGAAGTGACCACATCCTCATCCACCATCTTCACATCACATTCAAGCATTTTTGCATCTGAGAGAATTTCACCTGGAACAACCACATCACCTCTTCCAGCAACCAGTGCTCAGGAGAGCACTTCTCCAGAGTGGACATTATCTTCTTTCACCTCTGCCCTAACTGCAACCTCAACTTCTGCAGTCACAATTACATCCCTGCTCAACACAAGTGCTTCAGTCTTATCCAATCCTGTAGAGACATCCACCACTTCTACCCAGGATACATCACGTTCCCATACTACTACTAGCTCTTTCACTCACACAGGTCTTGAACCAGAATCTACTTCTCTGTCTACGTCATCAGTGCCATCCTTCCCATCTTCTGAATCAACCACTTTAGTCTCCTCTATCCTAGCTAGCACATCCTCACCTTATCATTTCAGATCCTCTACTTCTTCAACAACACAGACATCGACACTTCCTTTTTCTGATGTTGGAAACACCACTAATTTTGAGAAAACCTCTCATGTTAGTTTTTCTCCTCTTCCTATTACATGTAAGTATATTGATCTTATAATTAATAGAATTAAAAACTAAGTGAAATCAGTAAATTATGTACTTTTTAGATAAGCTTCTCCATCAGTTATTTTTTTCCTTTTTCCTTATTCTGTACATTTTGTAATAGATTCAATGGAAACCTCACGCTACTTATGCTCTGATCTTCTTAACCTTAGTCAAATATTGTATTCTCTTGAAAGCAACTCTATACAACATTTTAAGTCAATTTCTACTGCAAGTAAATTTGTACTTAATTTAGTACATCAGAGACTGTGCTTTCTGCTGTGAGATTATACCACTGAACAAAATAATTCATATCAGCATTGGAGAATTATACCAGTCATTACTCTCATCAATTTTTATATTTCTTACTGAATGGGAACAGAATGCCAAAAACTTGCACACTCCAGGAAGTTAGGAGTACTTCCACATCATTTCTGAGTATCTTAGTGATATATAATTAATATAAATCCACTCTCCTCTGTATAGACATTTTATCAGAAAAGGTGAGGGCTAAACAGTCTTCAGTTATGCGATAGTCCAAAGACAGAATTATGTGCAGTGTACAATAAAATCACAATAAAGAGTAGAGAGGAAAATTAAACAGTCAAGAGGAAAAGTATCATACAAGAGAAACCACTATTGCCCTCCATAGGAAAGTAAATGAAGGACCTCACTGCTATGCTTTGAAGGCGACATCCATATACATAAATAAAAAAATATGTAAACTTAAAGACTATGGAAGACAACAGAGAAAATATGAGCAATTGGCCAAACACAGATGTTATGCATGTATGAAGGATTAAGAGTACAGTAGAAAATAATGCAATTATATTCAAAGCAAAAAAAATTTCAAGAGAAAACTATATGCAAAAAGAATTAACTTCATACATTTAAAGAAATAAATAAACATACTGAAAAATATTAAAAACATAACTACTACAAAAAAAAAAAAAGAAAATAAGATATAAACTATATGGAAAAATAAACAAATATAATAATTAAATCATATATATGAAGTAAAAATCATGAAAGACAACAATAAAAAACAAACAAAACAAAATACTGGACGATAAGAAAGAAAATATAGAAGAAGAATTATAGATAAAAACAATCCCGTCCATTTAAA